ACCCAACAGAGCCAATGTTGCTGGTAAATTGCTGGATAAAGTGTATGAAAGACAAACTTAGCAGTGTGCAAAAAATCTAGAGGGTAAAATTGTTAACCTGAGTCTTCATAGGTGGAGCAATATCCACAACAATCCTGTTATATGTGCTTGAGTGACAAAAGAAGGGAATGTCTTCCATACAGAAACAAATGATACATCAGGAAATTAGCAGTGTGCAAAAAATCTAGAGGGTAAAATTGTTAACCTGAGTCTTCATAGGTGGAGCAATATCCACAACAATCCTGTTATATGTGCTTGAGTGACAAAAGAAGGGAATGTCTTCCATACAGAAACAAATGATACATCAGGAAATGAACACACAGCATAATACTTAGAAGAAGTAGCAACAAAAGCTATAACAAACTGTGGGGAAAAAATTAAAATAATCTAGTACATAGCTTGATCAAAGACAGTGCTGCAAATGTATCCAAGATGAGAAGAAATTTACAAGGGAGTGAAGAGAGTACCAAGCTAATATCATGGCTGCAGCGCTCATTTGATGCGCCACCCAGCCAAAGACTTCACTGTTCCAGAAATAAAGGCTAAAGTTGAAATTGCAAAATACTTCCCTAACAACCACTTTGCAACAGCTGCTCTGAAAAAAGCAGAAGGAACCAAACTAACTCTCCCACAAGACATGCGATGGAACTCAGTAGTGGTCTATTTTGAGCTCTATATCAGAAACTAGCCTAAGCTGATGAGTTTGTGAACAAAACTGTAAAAAAATAGATGGCACTGTCACATCCAAAGTTCTCAACATCGGGCTTAAGAGAAATGATGAATATATGCTGAGTACCCTGAAGCCTATTTCTATAGCATTGAACAAAATGCATGGAAATAGCCTTTTTACTGGTGATGCTGTTGAAATTTGGAAGGAACTGAGTGAGATCTTTAAAAAGACAAATAAGCAATGACAGAGCTAAATTACAAGCATTAAAAAAAAATGGGACAAGCACTCACTCTAGTTTATTTTCTTGCAAATATTCTCAATACTTAGTACCAAGTAAAACCTTAACAGCTGAAGAAGAGGAATTGGCTATGACATGGACACCCAGCAATCATCCTCCATAATGCCAACCCAGGTTGGACCTCCCTGGTCCTGCACCCTTGGGACCTGACTGACTCTGGATGAGGGAATTTGCCAGACTGGGGAGGTCATTTTTGACCCCCTGCTGCCAGTCCCATGCCCTGCCCTGCCACCCCATTGGGCTTCCTGGC